CTGGACTTCCCAGTCAGCCTCTGACAAGCCAAAGTGTTTAGTCCAGTAGGTAACACCTGGGAAACCAATCATTGGAAAAGTGCTATTGAGAGAGAGCTGATTTATTTCATTCTCAACATGCACTTTGTCTTTCTTTCTAGGACATGGATGGCTCTGCAGCTCAGAATCAGGGTAAGTAGAAATCTAAAGCAAACACCCAGTTATGTATTGACAGGTCATTTTGTGTGTGGTGTGTGATATGTTGTGGAGAACATCAGATGTTTACATGGATTAAGAAGGGTGATTTCCCCAGCTTTGTTGAACAGGAAAGAATTTAGAAATGACCTAAGAGACTGTAAACATTAATTACCTAGAAATGAAGGTAGCAGTCCAGCAGGGCACAAGCAGTATTTTATTAGGAAGATCCTCAAGTCCAACCATTAACCCAGCAATGCCAAGTCCAGTAAACCATGGAATGGTTATATTGTCTGTGTTGAAAGCAAACTAAAACTGAAGAAAATCCCCCAAGGATTAATGTCATAGCCTTGGGGAGCAGTGCAGGCTGAGAGCATGGGAGTCTCTTCCTCTGCAAGGATCAGACTCCTTCCCCCTGCAGGCTGGGCCAGGGAGCCTTTTGTGAGCAGCATTCCCTCACTGAGCTTGGTCTTTGCTCCTGACCTCCATTGCCCAATATCCCCAGGTCAGCTGGAAAGCCCAATGAAATGCCTGCTTGTGTGTTACCATTTTACCACCCATTCAGGCAGTGACAGGCTTTTGCAGCCTGAATGTGTCAAACGTTCAGGAGGGATGGGGGAGGTTGGTTTGTTTTGGCAAGCACAACCCAAAACTTGTTCAGAATTTGGTGCTTGAGAATGTGTCTGCCTTGGCTGATATTTCTGTTCTGGTTGTCTTTCAGCGTGCTTGTAGATGACCTGCAGCTCAGTGACAGTGAGGAGAGCGATGACAACCAAGTCAGTTTGGGATGTTGGACACACCAGGCACACAGACATGCCTTGGAATCATCTCACCTTGTTGCATTGTTCTGAGTTCCTCGAGCTAACCTTTTCTTCCCCTCTTCTCTTTCTTTTTGTGACCAAAATAGGTTGTTGAAAAGCGTCCTTCTGCATTTGTTTCTCCAAGAGACAGGTTTTTCACCAAATTTCTAGCTAGACCAGATGAGAAAAACAAACCTCCTTTTTATGGGAGGGAGAGATGAGAAAGGGTTCCTGGTTTCTGTCATGTATTGTTAGTCAGAAGCAACATTCAAGACAGACTGAAGTGCCCCAGGCCAGCATTAGAGGAAGAAAGGTAGGGAAGCCCAGAGTTTTTCCTCTAGGAGAGCACTGACCCACAGTTTTGTCTTGACCAAGGAACACAGATGGAGAAGGGAAAACTTAAGGGGGCGTATTACGAAATGAAGAAACCATCCTGAAATCTGGTAGCCTTTATTAGAAATTTTGCTTTTGAGGACTGAGGCTTTCAGAAAAGCCCTAGCCACTTTTGGTGGGTTTTGAGAGTTTAGTTGGCCAAATGCAGCTTCAGAATGTAGCAGTGATAAGTGATGTCCTGCTTACATATTTGTCTGCCTGGGTTGAAGGATTTATTTCCAGAGGTTTTTTCATTCCAGTGGTTTATGTTTTGAGAATGGCAATGTATTTCATCTGGCCTTCTCCCCTCTCCTCTCATTGCCAAAACAGAGGGTTTCAGTTTTATTTCTGAATACTGCCACGTCCCTATAATAAGTAAGTAACACTCTCCCATGCTCCTTTCTGTTTTTAGCACACGGTGGC